CTCCAGGTGTAGCCTCTCCAGAGCTGAGTAGAGGGGCAGGATCCCCTCCTTCGACCTGCTGGCAATGCTCTTCCTGCTGCAGGCCAGGATCGCATTGGCCTTCTTGGCCACAAGGGCACACTGCTGCCTCACGGTTAACTTGTTGTCAACCAGGACTCCCAAATCCCTTTCTGCAGAGCTGCTTTCCAGCAGGTCAACCCCTAATCTGTATTGGTGCCTGGAGTTATTCCTGCCCAGGTGCAGGACTCTGCACTTGTTCTTGTTGAACCTCACGAGGTTCCTCTCTGCCCAACTCTCCAACCTGTCCAGGTCCCTCTGAATGGCAGTGCAGCCCTCGGCAGTGTCGGCCACTCCACCCAATTTGGTATCGTCCACAAACTTGCTCGGGGTGCGCTCTGTACTCTTGTCCAAGTCATTGATGAACAAGTTGAACAGCACCGGGCCCAGTACTGACACCTGGGCAGGACACCATGGCCACAGGCCTCCAACCAGACGTGGCCCCATTTATCACCACCCTCTGGGCTCTGCCATCCAGCCAGTCCTCAATCCACCTCACTGTTCACTCATCCAGTCCACACTTTCTGAGCTTTCCTATGAGGATGTTATGGGAGACTGTGTCGACAGCCTTGCTGAAGTGACTGAGAAGCCTTCCTTGGCAGATCTTAGCGAAATGAATGTAGCTAAGCATAGGATCGCTCACTTGCAGGGCAATCCTAGGAAAAGATCTATGTGTATCCTTAGGCAACCATTCATTCCCATGGTCAATTACAGGCAACCACGATGGCCACCTAGACAGTTTGCACCTTCAGATGGTCACCTGGGTCCTTCATGGGAGCCAGGAAAGCCAAACTGGCTTTTCCTTTCTGTTGCTCCGTTCTAAAGCCGATGCTGAGCACCAGGAGAATGACATCTTAGTGATGTCCATGGGTCATCTGAAAGGATTACCAGACAGACCAGGAAATAGCATGGGTCTTTGCAATTTTGTGGATAGTAGGGGTTCAGAACATTTTTAATATGTATTCATCAACTTGCTACTGTTCTGGAGGAAGAAATTTCAACACACAATTCAGGGGCTAAGAACTGCTAAGGAACTCCAGTTCTGGCACTGGCTTCTTTCTGGCCATCAGCATTACCTGTCCCCCACCTATGAAACAAGACATAGTGCATCCCACAAACAGGAGAAATGGTTTTCTCTCAGATTCACAGATTTCCAGGCTGACAGAAACATGCTGATCATCTGCAACATGCCTGCAAAACCAGAGAGTTTCACCTGACAATTTTGGTCCCTGTCCATGAGTTCTAGCTAAAGTACAATCTCATAGGAGAACATCCAGCTCAGTTTAAGGACCTGGAGTAATTGGATTTCCACCCCATCCCCAATAAGATTGTTTCAATACTTAATTTCTGTCATAGGGATATGGTCACAATGTCCTAGCCTGAATCCAGACTCAGCTGTCACTTCCTCAGCCTCTTTTGGTTGTTATTGTTTTATTAAGCTCTCCATTACACTATGAGAAAAGACCCACATATTGGGCTCGAGCCTTTTCTTGGACTACATACTTTGTAACTACACGAGTGGATTTAAGTTGGATTTCTGAACTCTTATATCATTCCCATGGCTCTTCTATGAATCCTTTCTAATCCTTTTTTTTGAAGACAAACCACCAGGATTATATACCATATTCAGTACTGGTCTCATAAAGTGGAGTAATGAGATAAAACCAACTCTCTACACTTATTTGATAGGTTTCTGTCTATCCTTTCAAGATTGCTTAAATATTTTACTATTCTTATATTACTATATACCTCCCTCCTAGCTCCCACATAAAATAGGATGTTAGCAAACTTGAATGGTGCAAGCAGGAAAAATTAGGAGTAGAGGATACTAGGAAAATCAGAATTTACTTCTGCCCATGCTTATAGATCATAATATAAACTAAATTGCTCAAGAATCCTTACCTCAGTGAGTAAAATTGCATTTTACCCATATTTCTTTCCACCTTCCTCATTTAGTTTGATTCCTCGTTAAACACCCCAGTGAGGCTGAAGAACAGGTAATGGCAAGCCAGCCTCGCTGTGTCTGTTACCTGGGCTGTCTATATTTATAGAACTTCCTCTCTATTATGGGTACCACAGTGTGTTTTGTTATTAACCATGCTGCCTACATTTGGAGAGAGCAATCACCTCTCAAGCTTGCTCTGAGCTCACACTTGGACACTGGACTCTGGGCTCGGGGATCACTCTCACACCAAGAAACAAATATACCCATTTTTTTGATTGGGAAAGTGAGTGAGATGATAATTCTGGGAAGTGTCCCAGCTGAAATATGAGCTAGGTGGGGTTAGGACCAAGGCAATTCTTCATTTACTCTTTGAGTTCTGCTGACGTTTCCATTTGGAGACTCGGCCTCTCTCTTGCATTGTCTAATGTCAGCAGAACTGACTAAATGAATTGACTTCTGAGCCTCTGATTTGCAATCTTCTATTCTTCAGCATTTTGTCACGTAATTCTGTAATTACAGAACTGTACATACTGGGAACCCTGTGGGTTTTAAAATGACTTCATAGTGCGTCTCGTTCAGCAGTGCAGCAGGATGTATGAGACAGACACACATGCATTCATACAAAATGTTCAAGGCTGCCTGAAGGACACCACAAAAAAAAATAGAACCGTGACATGCAGAAAATACCTCTATCAGTGCTACATACTACTCTGCTTTTCTGGGGCTGGAATGATTCAGAATCCTTCATTTTTGTAGCTCTCAGGTGGAGTAAGCAGTACTGGAAACAGAAATGGAAGTTCACCAAAAGGTGAAATGACTTCCCCAAACCCATGCAGCAGACGTGGCGGGTGCGCTCCTTCCCCAGCATCAAAGCGCTACTTTTGTGGCTAGAAGTTCAAGGGACTTTGGTGGGACTCAGAAACCCAGGTGGCCTCACAGACAAGATGCCCTGTGGGAGTGGGAAGCCCCATCCCAGCCCTGTTCCAGGACTCGAGCTCCTGAGGCCGGGCTCCTCACTGCCCGGAAGGTGGCGGCAACCCCTTGCGCGCACCGGCCAGGAGCGCGTTGCGGCAGCCCGCGCGCACCGGGAAACCCAGACTTTTCAGGAGGAAGAAAAGGGGCTTCTGCCACTAGACAGGCAAAGGCCGGGGACCGTAGGCCTCCGACCATCAGGCAGCCGGGATCGAGCTGTGTTGCACAGGTGACCATTTCGGAGACCCTCGCAGGGGAACATTCGCAAAAGCTCTCTAGGAGTTTGGGCACCCTTTCCAGCAGCAGCTCCATTTTGGTCTGGGCTCTCATTTCCCCTGCTTTAATTTTGCCAGTTAAGAGCACAATTTTTAGCCTCTTATGTTGAGCCATGCGTCCCTGAGTAAAAATGCAATAGGTTTGTATAATTGATTTTTTTCTTTTATAGGAATGAACTCTGACAATATCACTTCAGCCAGACCCACAAATCACTTAAAGGTCCATCTACCACTCATTTAATCTCCAAAATACATCTGAGGATCCCCAGATTTTAAAAGAAGGGTCTCACTGAAGACTACCCTCTGATATCTGGTCCTGAAAGCTAGACCTAAATACCTGAATCATAAAAACATGCAGTTGTATCAGAGCTGGTATAGGGAATTTTCAGAACACTTGCCTTTCTAAAACATAGCTTACAAACAGAAAGAAACAAAACAGACCCTGTCTTATGAATCTACTCTGTTATGGGACATGATAAGAAGGGAAGTTTAAATCCCAATGAACAAGGGGCTAGAAGTGCTGTCAAAGAACTCTTTATATTACTCCTTCTCCTCCTACTACTAGTGGTAGTAGCAGTTATCGGTCATACATGGCAAACAGCAGGTTTACATGCTGGATAGGCTTCCTGTGTTTTTGTTTTATGGTACTATATTTGCATTTTACATTTGGAGACATACTACCCAGAACAGCTTTCTCTCTGAACACCAGTCCTAACCATAATGCTTGGAAGAACTTGCTTTTTCTTACATTTCCACAGTGTTTTATTCATCATATTATCAAATACTGCTTCTTATCACCATGTTGTCCTTGGTATACCCTGGATTCTGCTCTCCATCTTTCACAGAAGTATGTGCAAGTGTATGTGCATACACTTGTGCCTTGCTTTCACTTTATTTTGATTTTCAGTCTTAGGAATTTAAGTTTCGATTTCACTAGTGGTTTTACCCGAGCTGCTAGTAGTGGAACTGAGAGTCCTAGAGGCAGAGGTCAAACAGGGCTGCTGAGCCAGTCTAGTAGTCTGGAGCTCACAGAAAGGCCAGTCCTGCTCCCCTCCCAGCTGTGTGTTCCTGCACCTTCACCTGTTCCACAGCTTGTGACTATCTGACCCCATGCGGAACTGATTCAGCTCACTATGTGGATAGAAAAACAGTAATGAACAAAACAAACATTTTTTGACCTGTTTACAGTCTGAACTGGCTCGCAGAGGTGTCAAGTAGAAGGAAGAGGGCAGGACTGCAAAGCCGAGTCTTGGAGAGGGCAGAAGAGAGCAACACCCTTTGGCCTGAGCAGGTTGTTAGACTGACTTGATCAGCACACCCAACCTTGTCCTCAATACAGCTCATGAGTGCACAGAACAGGATTAATAGTCAGTAGCACTGGCTACCCCTTTAGTCTACGTCAGGCAGCAATGTCTGGCAAATGTTTATGTTCTTGTTTCACTCCATTGCTATTTGCACTCCAGGAAGATCAGTATAATCATACTCCATAGCCTACTTAGTGGCATCTTCTTGGCTCTGCAGAGTGCAGCATCAGAGAATAATACACTGTCTCACGCTGCGGATATCGCCAAGTTGGGCAGGGAGACACCAGCATCCACAAGTTTTATCGCATTTCAACCACTTAATTTTTCTTAATTTTTCTTTTTTTTTTTTTTTGCAATGGAATCAAATGATGAGATCCTAAGTCATCTCTGTAAGCCTCCTGCTCCTGCAGGTGGCTGCTCTCTGTTGTCTGAAAATCAAAATTTCAAAATCTTCTTGTTCTCTAGGTAGCTGCAAAGTCAGACTCAGAATAAAAGTAAAGGAAAAGAGCAATTTGGCTATTAGAATAAGATGAGACTCCAAATTAAATAGTTCAAAAAAAAACCCCACTAACTACCTGCAATGAAATATTTAACAGTTCTGGAAAACTGATATTTCCCATGGCTTTAGCTACTAAGATGACCATTATTTTGAGAGGTTAGCAGTGTAGTTTTTTAAATCCAGTATCAGGATTAAATATAAAAAGAGTAGTAGTTGCTAGATTGCACAGTTGTGTAATTTTTGGTTACCATTTAAAAATTTGGAAGTAAAGCTGCTTTGCCTTCCAGTGCTCAGCCTCTGTCTTATATTGTCAAATGGACAACCCAGAAGGGCTAAGGGACTGCTAATAGCAACAGAGAACGTGTGTTTGAGTGTAAATGCTATAGTCCTGGAGGCTGCTAATCCTACGTATTTTGGGCAGTGAATGTGTTATCTGTTGGGGGAATGTTTCTCCTCTGTCTCAAGCTACCCTGCCACTGCTAACTCTCCATCTAGTCCTTGAACTGTGTGGCAAAAACCTGTTATTTTAGGGAAACAGAGAAAGAAAGAGAAAGCAGCAATTAACTTACAACATGAGGATATAGGTACACTGATAGCCAGGATGATCCAGGCAATGTCCATCTTGCTGAGGCAGATGGTTGCTCTGTGCTGGGGCTTGTCCCCCTCAGTGACATGGGAGACGTTTCCCTGCACGCCGGGTTTCCAGGTCCCGGCAGGCACCAGTCTGTTTAGGAAGTTGCCAGTTGCAGTGGAGCCAGCGGTGGAAAAGGAGCTGGACAAGCCCGTGGCGGGGGCCGTGGGGACAGTGCTGCCCAACACGGTGGCATCTGGCACCGCGCCGGGAGCAGCTCCCCTGGGGTCGCCTGCTGTCGCAGAGGAGACATCGAAACCGGTCTGAACGGCGTGACCTGCTGCTGCCGTCGCAGTTCCGGGGCCGGCAAACAAGGGGACATTCGTACTGAGGTTCAAGGTTACCCAGGAGCTGTTTTTGCTCAGCATATCCCATAGATCATAGTGGGGGCGGTCAAAAGGCACCGATGCCACTCCGGGATCGGTCGACGGTCCGGCAGCGGCGGTGGCAAAACCCGCTTCCCGCCCGAGTGGCTCCGTGCCGTCCCCATGCTCTGCTTGCCTTGGGCCTCCTGAGGTGCTGCTGTGGGGAGAAGGGGCCGGGTGCGTAGTTCTTGCCAGCCCCGTGCCGGTGGGACCGCTGGAAGCAGCGGTCGGGGAGGGATACGGGTTCTCTGCGAAGGGGCCGCTCAGGCTGGGGAAGGGGGAGTGCAGGGCCGCCTTCAGGTAAGGCTCTGATGGCTCTGTGAAGTTCCCTTGGGAATCCTGGGAGAGTTTCCCCCTGGGGCGAGTCTGTCCTGAGTACAAAGCGCTCTGGTTGTACAAATTGTGCCCATGGCTGTGACAGCGGTAGTGTCCATCAGGAAGCCCTGAGAGGAGGAGGCAGCGGGAGACGGGACCTGAATGGAAAACACCAGCTCTTCTGTCAGTGCCAAGATCAGCAGAACACCTAGGGGCAAAAAGCAGAGAGCGGGAATGAGATGGGTACATCAGGCTGGAGTCCCACCAGGCTGCTCCCCGGCGGTGCTCTGCCTTCTCCAGGAGAGCAGCACATGCGAAGAGCGCCTGCCGGGCCCGTCTGCGGTGAGGTGGGAATGGGGAAGCTGCAGGGAGGCACCAGCAAAAGAGGACAGGACCTTGCAGTACGGATCAGGAGAGTGCTGTAGGTGCCACCTGCAGCTGCAGGCTATCTCCCTCTATAAGCAACAAAGCACCCTGTCCCATAGCGGCAGATGCAGAAAGACACGTATCCTTTTTGGTTTTGGCCAGGGGCCTCCAGATAAGAAGACCTATCATTGTGGGAAATCTTAGCCTGCTCATTCTCTTGGCTGCAAAACCCTGATTTTGGCTGTCTCCATTTTTGGATGCCATTAGGCAATCTGTTTTTTGGGAGAACAGTTGCTTAGCCCTTGCTGAAAATTGGGTCAAAAATTGTCACTGACCAAGAAATGGGGCTGGGGGTGGATTTTTGATGAGAGGGTTGCCTAGGTTCAAATCCCATTTCCTTTTTATCAGCTTTGGGAAACTTGGTCTCTTATTGGCAGTATAAGATGCAGAAAATCTGCGAATGTCCAAGATGAGTAAGAAAATGGAGCTATCATAGGCATTTAAAAAAAAACCCATGTGATTATTAGGACTTCAATCCGATCTAACACAACTGCCCTTTCACACTCACATACCAATGTTTGTCTATATCCTGCGCTGCGCTTACATGTGCTGCGGGATTTGAGTCTGTGAAGTTTGCCTCTCGCCTCCCAACTGCAGTACACATCATTTTCATGATGTGCCAGATTTGCACTACTGGGAACATCAATTCTTCCATTTATTCACAGTCCAGATAATGGACCCGGGCAGCTGCAATAGCATAAGCCTCCCCAGGATGCAGGGCTAATACGCCCTGAGTTAGTGCGACCTGCAGGGACCTCATCAATCACAAGTCACCATTTCCATATGTTGAAGCTGTCAACTGCAATGTGGCCCTCTGCCCGCTAGGAAGCACATGGAACGAGTCCATTCTGCACAAGCCACTGAACAGCGTCAGCTGGCACCTCCAGCGCGGTGCTGGGGCGAATCTCAACCAGCGCTCTCAAGGTGAAAGACACTGCAACCCAAACAAATCAGGGAGCCAAGCTCATCAGAGCTGCAGGACACCCAGTTGCATGAGGATTGCATGTGAGTTGAGATGTGGGGTGTTTCCCTGCCCCCTTTGCCACCCTCTTCCTCCTCCCAGCTTGCCAGCTTTCTTTGCAAGTGCTGTTAGGCCATTTAGGTCTGACTTTCTTGGGAATATTTGGTATGGGCACCATCTGCAAATGGAAGAATGGGAGTTGTGAAAATCAAAGGTTTCTGATTAGGTGTCCATTGGATCCTAAAGCTCTGTTGCACGTTGGTGTGATGCAAACACCAAGAAATGTTTATTCAGAGTCCTGTGCATCACTCCCATCCATTTGCAAGCCACATGCTACATAAAGCACAAACTGCCCGAAGTGGTATAGTATTTATTCCTCTAACCCAGTTAAGTGTTGTGCTTTGACCACAAACTATCACTAAACTGGGACCTCACTTCCAAATCCTAGTCAGCTACACACAATACGCTCTTAGCAAAACGCCTAGTCAAAGAGGAAAATACATCCTGCACATCCTACTATATTCTTGGAGCATCGCTCTTGGAAATGAAATGCAGGAATTATCTTCACATGTTGGCAGCACTTATTCTGAGGTCAAGGTCAAAGCAGATATTCTAGTGCCCATATGGCTAATACTCTATGCCAAGGCAAGTGGCTGCTAGAGAACAAATTCAAATAGGAGAGGATGAAGATTTATTTTGGATTTGGTATGCAGAGATAATGTTTCAGGAAACTTTGGGCTTGCTATTGTGAGTGTTCAAGATAAAGTGCACTGGCAGGTCTTATGAGATACTACATTATAATTGCAATGCCGGCTCAAATGTTTGCATGTTGTGGAACTACCTTCCTCTCACACCTTGTGCACAGAAAAGCATCTCTGTTGGATTGCTGTTTTTCACCTAGATATTCCTTAAGGAATTTGGAAGTTGCCAGCTCTTCTGCAAATTATGCCCTGAGGTTAGAAACAATGATCTTTGGCTAAAAAACTCCCAAGTATCCACCTTTACTGCTTGAATTGCTAATAAATTAGAAGCTAACAACTACAAAGATTTATAACCTCCCTGGGGCAGGCTGTTGTGGTAGCAGGTCACCACACATCAGACACTAGAAGCCATATAGATTTAGCTAGTACCCTGAGAGGAGTTGTAAAGTATTAATAACTATTCTAAAGAAATACTATGTCCTAAGCGATTCATTTGGCAGTAAACAACAACCCTGTAAACCTTTGCTCTCTCAGGATGTGCTAGTCAGATTTTGCTCACTTCTAACATCCTCTGCAGAGCTACTGTGGCCCCACACACATAGCTTCTTAGGACTTTTCTTTTTTACTGATTTTACCTGTTTAACTGACCACTCTCTCTTCCAGAGACATACAGAGCAAATCTATGTCCCCAAATACTTATTCAGCTCAGCAGATCATTCTCAAAATAGCCCATGCTGTACATTTTGGGAAAACCAGCTGGTAATAGACTTCACTGTGAGCTTTGCTGGCCCTTTTAAGTAGAATTAATTGGCTTTATAACTGATCAGCAGCCAACTGGAAAGCAAAAGTTGGAATTGATATTTTCAGATGCTCTGCATCAGCCATGCAGGGACACCTGGCGATGTTCTATCTGGGTTTGCAGTGGCCTGATAGCCCCGAGCTCCCAATGACTCTTGTGAGACGTGAGGGTATGCAATGTTGTACTAAGCAGAGCTTTTTTTAAGGCACCTAGTATTAGACTCCCCTTTAGAGAAATTTTGGCCTAAATCGAGGAAAATGATTTTCTTAATTCCTCTGCAAAGACGCAGGAAACATTCATCACTGAAATGGGTTTAACCAACCCTTTCAGAAGTCCTCCCTCTCTCTCTGCTTCCCAAATGCACCTGCTCATTGCAAAGTACACGATGCTGATGGCCCCCAGGCCCCCAGCTTACGTAGAATCAGATTGGCACTGAAAAGAAACCCTTTGGGCCCAACATTGTCATGGCCGAGGTGATAATAGTCCAGATGTATGGGACACAGCAGATGCTTGCTAAGTTCAAAGCTCAGTCCTACAGCTCTTTGCCAAAACCCTTCAGTCTGGGCTGCACGAGACTCCAAGGACCGACCTTATTTAGCTGAGGAGCCCCTTGGGGTAAGGTCTGTCTGTTGCTGGATGGTGCCCTAATGGCAATACAGGCTGATGTAAGTACATTATGGCAAATAATAATAATTAATTATATTTTCAAGGGTCAGTTAACACCATTAAGCCTTCTCATAAGGGGCCATTTCTAAGTTATAGGAATTCATCCTCAGAAAGGGTCAAACTGGTTTGACTTTTAAATGCTGTATGTCAAATTCCTGCTTTTGGAGCCTAATTTTATGACTACATTAAAGCCATTCAACCCTAATGAAAATGCTGATTGACCTGATGTCTCGGTGGTGCGAACCGTGTCATCCCGTGCTCTTGCATAGCACACCAAGACTCAAATGTTAAGTACAAAATGAATTAACTCAAGGGTGAAGCAGAGCAGACTGACAGCACAGTGCACATAGAGGGAGCTGATGTGCACTTAGCCATAAACCCCCTTCCCGGCAACGCACTGCAAAGGTTCAAATCTCACCAGGACCTCGCTACAGTGCTCTTTCCTGTGGTAGGGGTACAGTTTTATAAGTAAGGAGAATGAAGGAGCAATGTTCTGAGAGCCTGGAGCTAATATCCCTAGCAAGTCTCAAGAAAATTGGGGTTGGGAATATTTTGCTGCCTGAGAAATGGGAAGGGGTTTGAGGTCCCCAGCAGCCGCCTTTGAGCATTTTATCTCGGGATCCAAGGAGCTCCTGCCAAAGGCTGCTGTGCTTTTTAGGTGGCCCTAGCTCGGAGCTGCTACCGCCTGGTGCCGCTCGGGAAGAGCCTTCCCGCACGGCAGAGCAGAGCGGGCAGGCTGCCGGTTCATGCCATCAGGCTCCCTTCTCTTCAAACAGCACGGGCTTATTTGATGCCTGGTCTAAAGTTCGTGGAAAGGCTCCTGCTGACTTTGACTCCGAAGCGGGCTTTGAATCAAGTCCTGCTTGGCAAAGACCCGGTGCAGTCTCTGGAGCTCCACGTTCACATTTCCCACAGCACGTGAACCCGCGCCAAGAGCCGAGGCGGCGTTTGAGCCCTTCTCACCGCTGCTGCCCTGCACCTTGCAGCAAAGCATCCTGAGCCACCCTGGAGCAAACACTTTTGCTCTAGGAATGATGCTTTCTGTGCAGAGACCTGCTGCTGGACACATTATGGCATGCAGCCGTGGGCAAGGGAAGCAAAACGCAGCACGGGACCCGCTACCGCCAGCGCCTGGGCTCAGGTGCACATGGGCAGCCTGCAGGATGGTGACACCTCCCCCAGACCCAAACATTCTTGGCTTGTTAAGTGGCAGTGAGAGCAGGCCTTGCAAAACAGACTCAAAGCGACGCCTTCTGAGTGACACTGTTAGCTTATCTTGGGTCCCTCAGCAAACCAGAAGCATTGCAGGGAGCAGAACCAACCTCGAACAGATGCACCACTGGGCAGAAAGTCTATATTGTTACTTTTGTTACGGACACTCTCTTTGCAATCTGCCAAAGCAATGTGATTTTCACACACAACAAAGCAGCCTTTGTCCAAAGAGTCGGGCAAATTCCACCTCCACGAGTGGTGGCAGAACCGAGAAAAAGTAGGTTACTCTGCAGAGAGTGTTTCTCTTTCTTGCCTATCAGCGACTGTTGTACCAGAGCTCCCAGCTTTTAACTTACAGGTTATTGTCTGTTTTTCCTTTTAAACAGTAAGCGGGGTGCTCAAGCCCAACTTCCGTATTCAAGATATCAGATAAAATGTAGAAA